CGGTTGTCAGCACACAGCCTCTCTCCCTCTCTAGGTCTAGAGTACCCAGCCGCTCCATCTCTCCACATCATCGACTCTGCCTTCATCTCTGGCGTCACACCTTCTCTGGGTAGGGTTCCGCAATTTTGCTCTTCTCCCTTGATGGTTACAGGGACCTGTGCTCCTGGATTGCAAAGTCCACCACTCTCCTCCTTTTGCTTCTAAACATGGCAGACCTTTTTCACTAGTTAAACTAAACTGTTGTTTCCTTTTAAGAAGACTTCAGAGGATATTCTTGCCCAAGAGTGTAAAGATGACCTCAGGACAGTTATTTCTGAAAGTTCACCCAACCTTTATGGCTCCAGGAAATCTAGAGTCCATGAGAATTTGAAATTCTGTTCTGCATTGCCCCTTTTGATCAGGACTGTTCTGTGGAATCTTCAATCAGTATGTTCAGTAATGATAGACAGACACCATCCAGTTCTTCTGGTTTCATGGCAGAGGAGGTAATCTCCTCCTTGTATTCCTCACTCCCCTCCTTCCTCTGTTGTTCCAGCAAAATAGAGACCAATTGTTGTACCTTAGATGACTATTTGCAAGCTTTTAAGACCCCAGGTACTTACACATTGAACTATGAGGTAGAATAAAACCATTGAACTATGAGGTAGAATAAAGCACTGAATATGTTATTAAGCCAATGACCTGTAATGCCCCATGAAAACATGACCCTGTACTTCCAGTTGTTGTCAAGTGCCATCAAGTCGATTCCAACTCATAACAACCCTGTGTAGGGTTTCCAAGGCTTTAAATCTTCCTCAGAGCAGAAAGCCTCATCTTTCTCCTATGGTACCTCCAGTGTAAAGTACTAAATCCCATAATGTGTTTGGTTGTACATAAGCAGCCTCAGCAGCTACTCTGGTTTGCTGTTGTGGTAAATACATCACACAAGTTTTGCTGAGTCAACTTTTTAGAGGTATACATTATTGACAGCAGTTATAGTATTTGGCTGAGCAACCCACCATTAATCAATGTGATTTTTTCATAACCATTAAGTCCTGTTTTCTTCCTCCTTTCCATTCCTTGTAACCACTAATATAAACCTTGGTCTCTGTATATTTGCCTTTCATTATCTTCTTATATAAGCGAGATCATGCAATCTTTGTCGTTTTGTGATTTTTTAATATCATTCGGCATAATATCTTCAAACTCTACCTACGTTTTAACATATATTAAGACTTCGTTTCTCTTACTACCTGAATAGTATTCCATTGTATGTATGCATCACATGTTGTTTTATCTGTTCATCTGTTCATAGGCATTTTGGTTATTTCCACCTTTCTGCCAGAATTTATAACATCATTCGTGGGCCACACAAAATTATCAGCTTAAAAATTAGCTTGCTATATTTGATCAAACAATTAATTCACCCACCAGCTGCTGCTCCTCGGAAACCCGATACGGGGTCACTATGAGTTGGAACCCACTCAAAGGCACTGAACAGCAACAATGTGATGGTTGGAACTGTGATTGCCTAGGCAGGACCAGAACAAATGATTTTTCTGGCCTTATCGACCTGAGGAGTTCTGGTGTGGCACTGTGGGTTAATGTGCTGGGCTGCAGAGTCAGTTTGAACCACATGGTTGGGTGGTTCAAGCTCACCAGCCGCTCTTCGTAAATGCTATTCAGGGTTGAAATCGACTTGATGGCACTTAACAACAACAGAAACATATGGCTGGGGTGGATAAGGCCTGGGCAGTTGAAGGTTCCTCACCCCTGCTATACAGGGGCAGGACTCCATGGCATTTGATAACTTAAGCACTGGAAGAGACCTGGTGTGGCATGCTAGGATAAGCACTGAAACCCATCAGCTGCATCTCGAAAATTGTATACAGGGTCACTGTGAATCTTAACTGACTCAATGGCACTTAACAACACTTGAATTTTCATTGTACTTAGACTATGATTCCCCAGATAAGTTTAAATATAATCACAAATATGACAATAGAATCTCAGGGTTTGTTAATTTTTAAAATATTTAAATAAGCTTTATTTGTAAAATTATAGTGTTGCTACTGCACAATGTTATTAAATAGGCACCCATGGAAAGCATGGTATTGAATATCACTTTGGTCACAAGAGGATGCCTCTTTGTGGACTCTCATTTACATACTAATTGCACTCTATATTTCTGTTGTTGTTGTTATGTGCCGTGGAGTCGGTTCCTACCCATAGCGACCCTGTACAGGATTTCCGAGGCTGTAAATCTTTATGGGAGCAGAAAGCCTCTTCTTTCTCCCATGGAGCAGCTAGCAACAGTTAAACCACCCATTTACTAGTAGTTAGCTTGAATTATTCTACACGGTGCCCAGTTTAGATCATCTGTTAGGTAAGAAAAGCAAAGAGAAGAAAGGATTTTCATAAACAAATGCTTTTAGGAAAGGTCATTTATTACATTGAAATTTACTTTTGATGCTTGCCTAATGCTATGAAGGTGAAAATGACATTTTGAAATTATTTAATTAGGAAAGATTTATGGATTTTGAAATACAGTTTTGGTTTGTGGTTTTACGCGTATTAAATTTTTTGAGATGCTAGTATTTTCTGTATTCATAATACTGTAGTTAAATAGTACATAAATGGTTCAGAAACGAATGCAATTTTAGACTATAAAAGCAAAAGCATGTGTAAATGTATCTGTTATTTTATAGTTCATTTTATATGTGTTAAATTGTTTTGTTTTGAAATGTCTTTAGGTAGGTTTGCCTGAATTGATCATTTATAAATATCAAAGGGCAAAATAGCAGCAGGTCAGTAAGCTTCTGCTACCTGTTATGTAGTGGTCACCTCTTCAAGACTAGAACAATTTTATGGATCTTATTGATTTGAGTATCTCTGGACTTTAACTTTTGCATGGCTAATACCTAAAGTAATGAAGTGTAGTACTTTTCAGTGGTGCTTATGTCATACCCCTTTAGAGTTTTTGCCTTAATACTTACAGTGTTGCGTTATCTTTGAAGCCTGAATTTGATAAGGTAGCTTGGTGGCATTTTATGTCTCCCAAAATTGTGCTCTATAAGAGAGGTACATAGCTACAGAAATAGTGGGTACTTTGAGAAACTACCCAAGTAAAGTCAATAAAAACTAGTGTCTTTGTGCATGACCCACCTGCCAGTTACAGTCTTTGATCTAGTAGGTCACAGTGAAGAGCAGTATTCGTAAAAGGTGTTTGAGGATTTTTGTTGTTTTTTAATAAATGCTTTCAAATCTTATTCTTTGAGTTGCTCTTTTTTTTTAACTCTTGTTATGTTGGTAATTGTCATGAATGTAGATTTTTCTTTTACTTGAGACTGAATATTCTTCTAAAAACATTCTGACTAGTGGAATGTGTGGAGACAAAAGTATATTAATAAAAACAATATATATTCACTATAGTGAAAATAAGAAATTTAGATAACAAAAGTTGAACACTGAATAGACATTACAATATAGTAGTCATTACTTCTAGAATATTTGAAGATGAAAGTATTTCAAATAAATTATTTTTATAGAAAGTAGTTTGGGACACTGAGACATTTGTTTTCCACAGGTCACCAATGCACATTCTTATTATACATGCAGAAGTTAAGTTTTCAGTGGAAGCAGAAAGACTGTGTTGTTGATGATCTTTAAGGATAGCCTATCCCTCAAGAACATCACATCCTTAAAGTACTGAAGCACTAATGAATAAGGAAGCTTATTGAAAAAACAAAACTTGTTAAGTTACTTTGCATATTTTATGGTTTTATTTCTCAGGTCTTTTCCTTTGAGAGTTGTTGTTGTTATATGCCATGGAGTCGGTTCCGACCCATAGCGACCCTGTACAGGGTTCCCGAGGCTGTAAATCTTTATGGGAGCAGAAAGCCTCATCTTTCTCCCGCGAAACAGCTGGTAGTTTCGAACTGCTGACCTTGCGGTTAGCAGCCCAGCTTGTAACCACTACGCTACTAGAGCTCCTTCCTTTGAGAGTTGGTGTTCTTTAATAGTTGGATGGAAAATGTTACTTTTTTAACTTTTCCTCTTAAAAGATCACTGAATGATTATTTGTTATCACTCATACTTCAGTTAAATAATTCCTTAGGTTACAACCACCTTATTTTATTGATAATTAGTGATTCTTGATGATTCAGCCCTTAATTACAGACTACCTACAAGTACACCAAAAATAGTATATTTGCCACTAATGGAAAATGGGCTTCTGTTTCATGAGTGTGTATATTCCTAGCTGTGCTCAGATTCTTAACATTTGGTTACTGACAAAATTCTTTTCTAATGCAGTGTTGTTAATTTTGTAATACTACAAAGAAAACAAACATAGTATACATTACCATTTACAAAGTGTTTTGATTCTTAATAAGTCCATGACTTAAGTAGGGGAGACTTTATAAGCCACAGATGGGAAAAGGTCAAGTAACTTGCTGCAAGGTCACGGTCATGTAGAAGTAGAATCAGAATTCGATCATAGATTTTGTGTCTTCAGGTTACTTTCCACTGTTGAATCCTTTTCTACATTTCTTTCTCTTATCATCCCAGTGCACTATAATGATAATGTTGAGATCGGACCCCTAAGAACAAGTTCTGAACTTTAAAAAAAATCTAAGCAATGAATTTAGTGCTGTGCTAGATCCCATGATAGTTAAAAAGACAGTTGTGCCCCTCATTTCTTTTAAATAATATACAACTAAGGAACTTGTATACATACCCTTTCACAGGCAGGAATGTGCAAGATATACCCCTCCCCTTTTTTAAATCAGTTTCTACTCTTGGTTGTTTTGTTTTTTTTTTTTAATATGGGAAAATTTGGTTGCATGTTACTATACATAGTAATATACTTAAAGAATTAGAAGATTTTTATGTCACTTAAAAAATACTGTTGTAGAAACAGTTGAGTCAGTGTTATTTTTATCCTTTAAAAAATGGGTTTATTAATATTATTTTGTCCAAATTAGTTCTTTTGGTTCAGATTTGTCATTTTGGCTTTGCAGCAGTTAGAAGAAAAGAGTGAAGATCAAGAAGACAAGGAATGTTTGAAACAAGCAATAACAGCTTTGCTTAATGTTCAGAGTGGTATGGAAAAAATATGTTCTAAAAGTCTTGCAAAACGAAGACTGAGGTGAATATTTTCACTTTACTCTTAATCCTCCTGCTTTTTATCCTGAATGTTATACTATAAATTCAGGGTTCCCTGCTCTCTCTTCAAGTAAACAATGAAGAAAATAGTTTTAGTGACAAGCTTGGTCTTTAGGAGGAAGTGACATCAAAGCCAAGCGAATTTGTTATTGTTTGAAAAACCTTTCATATTTGTGCATTTTCCCTGCATACTCCCAGACAAGACCTCCTGAGACTCAACTGGTAAGCTAAAGGAGAGAGAGAGCAAAATGTATTGATTAGATTTATATGAGTGTCATTGTTCTGTCAAAGTAATTAGTAGTGTCCCTAATTTTAGGAATTGTATAACTTGAAGCATGAATTCAGATAGTATTGCTTCCAGCTTTCTAATTGTAATAATGTGCTGCATGTTTTTCAGTGCTGGGTCTTAGTTCATTCAAGCACGGTTAAATCATTTTGTTTTGGTGTCTTAAAGAGCTTTTTCCCCTATATGTGATGTACTTTTTGCTATTTGCCATTCTAAATATTTGTAGCCAAGATAGAAATAATCATTCTGTATCTGAAATTAGAGTAGAATTTTATCAGCAGTCATTTTTCCCTACAGAGCACTAAAAAAATTTCTCCACTGTGTTGGTTTACATTTACTTAAATTGTATAATTCTGTAACATTAATGTTTGGAGAATGAGTGAACACATTTATCAATACAACTTCTTAAATTGTTCTTTTTTGTTAATTTGCTTTATTTCCATGATCTCTAGATTCCTTGTCCTGTGTGCATTAATGATGTTTTTTCCTTTATTCCAGTGAATCTGCATGTCGATTTTATAGTCAACAAATGAAGGGAAAACAATTAGCAATCAAGAAAATGAACGAGATTCAGAAGAATATTGATGGCTGGGAGGGAAAAGACATTGGACAGTGTTGCAATGAGTTTATAATGGAAGGAACTCTTACACGTGTAGGAGCCAAACATGAGAGACACATATTTCTCTTTGATGGCTTAATGATTTGCTGTAAATCAAATCATGGCCAACCAAGACTTCCTGGTGCTAGCAATGCAGAATATCGTCTTAAAGAAAAGTTTTTTATGCGAAAGGTACAAATTAATGATAAAGATGACACCAATGAGTACAAGCACGCTTTTGAAATAATTTTAAAAGATGAAAATAGTGTTATATTTTCTGCCAAGTCAGCTGAAGAGAAAAACAATTGGATGGCAGCATTGATATCTTTACAGTACCGGAGTACACTGGAAAGGATGCTTGATGTAACAATGCTACAGGAAGAGAAGGAGGAGCAGATGAGGCTTCCTAGTGCTGATGTATATCGATTTGCAGAGCCTGATTCAGAAGAGAATATAATATTTGAAGAAAACATGCAGCCCAAGGCTGGGATTCCAATTATCAAAGCAGGAACTGTCATTAAACTTATAGAGAGGCTTACATACCATATGTATGCAGGTAAGAAATCTGAAGTTGCCTGTCACTTTAGTTTTCCGTCTGCGTTTTTCTGTGCTGTACACTACAGGTTATTGTGCTTAAAATAGAAAGCTAACAACAAAAGATCTTTGCATTAGCAGGCTCTTTGAGTTCATTTTCCTTTTATAAAAATACCACTTTACATTTCGTTGAAACTGTATACTTCTCTATCAAATTTACATAGTGTTTTTTTTTTTTAACCTTACATCAGAATTATCGGTGAGAAAATGAGGTCACTCAATCCAATTTACCCAGCTCTAAGAGCAGCAGAAACAAGACTAAACAAGTATCAGAAACAAGTCCTACATCATCAGTAGGACTTAAGAAGCTTTTTACTGCTTTAATCTTTTTTTTCTTTTCATTACTTCCATTTTAAAATAAGTAAAAATTTAACATGTATTCCAGTCATCAGAATTTTGTAGGTTCGACAAACACAGCATTGCTTTTTCTTAATTTCCCCCATTCCTCAAGCCTATTAAATTTAGTGCTCTGGAAGCCATTTAAATTTTTTTAAAATTTCTCTTTTTTTGTCTTTTTACAACTGATGTTATTTAAGAATACAATTATCTTACTGGGGTCATTGTTAGAGAAAAACATGTCTAAACTAACTACAAAGATGGCTATATAGGAAGAATAAAATATAATGATTGAGAAAAGACAAATACATTGACTAATTTTACTAAGTAATTTTATTTTTTTAATACAGTCGCATGATAAGTTGACAAAGCCTTAATTTTTTCTTTTAAAAGAATCTAAATAATATAGCTATGTCAGAATGTTGTTGGAAAGAATAAATGAAATCCTGTTTGTGAAAACCTTTTGTAAATACAAATTAAACCTATTTATTAAATATTTAAATTGCAAAGGCATATACCAGAAAAACCAAATCCCTGGCTGACCAGCCAATTCCGACTCCTAATGACCCTGTAGGATGGAATAGAGCTGCTTCAGAGGGTTTCCAAGGCTGTATCCTCTTTACAGAAGTAGACTGCCACGTCACTGACCTGAGGAGTCACTGGTGGGTTCAAACTGCTGACCTGTGGTTAACAGCCAAGTGCTTAATCACTGTGCCACCAGGGCTCCTTTAAAAAAGGAACATATAAGTGATACAAATAGAGTACAACTCTAATAAATTATATCCTTATGTAGTTGAATATGAAAGTTAATTTCTATCTTATACTATTTACTTTAATATATTCTTATTTCTAAAAGAGGCTGTAGGAATTCCTCACCTCCCCCAATTTATAAACTCCTAAACGTAGATTCAATTCTCTCTACAATCCATTCTAGCACCAGTTGAATTAAGCTTTTAAAGATAACCATTAATTAGTATAATTTGGGGAAATATGAATAGCATTGATGTGTTGAATTTATTGACTGTACAGTCAGATTTATCTAATACAGCCTAGAAACTACCAGAGTTACTTTACAAGACGTAAAAGTAAGTTGAAATAATACTTTCATTTTTATTAATGATCTCAAAGCACTTGGTAAATGTAATTTATCATTTTCTCCACATACTTTTGGGATAATTAAGCCAGTTATTTTATTTAGTGTATTTTTTAGTTTAGCCTCTAATTTGGTAGGTTATTTCCTGGCCTTTTGTATAGTAAACTAACTGTTATTACACAGGCTGATTTTAAAAGCAGTTTTGAGTTCTGTAAACACAAACAAAGGTAGTAGTCTAGACATGCTGGAAGAGAAAGTTAGCCTGGGATTGCAAATTGACTAATTTTTTTTTTTCTAGAAAATCAGAAATAAAAAATAAAAAGTACAGGAAATTAAAATAAGTTGGCTTACAGTTTTATATGAAATAGACTATTTGGTGATTTCTTTAAAAATATAAAACTGGTTTTGAAAGGAACAGTTTTAGTAAATAGTGTGGCCTACCTGTCCAATTCATTTAATTCATTGACTCTCTGTATATACTCTTTGAGATCTAGAATACAGCCATAATAATGTTTTCTTAGAGTAACCTAAATTTGTAGCTGCAAAACAATTTTTGCTACTTCTTTTCACCACAGTATGCTGATTTTTAAGTAAAAACCTTTTTGGCTTTTGGACTGTTTACTGTAAAATTAGTCTGTAGATTTTTATCTATAAGACAGAAGTTTTGGTAAATATTTAAAATTCCATAATATTTATCGTATGTTAGTGGTACATTAGTTAGAAGGCATTTTCAAATTCCCAAAAAAATTAATAGTGTCATTAGAACTCATCTTGTTTGTTAATTGAAAAAAGTATTTCACAGAACAGATAAATTTATGATTATTAATAATAAGTTGAACAGAACTGCAGATAATATTTTTTTCCCACAGAACTATACCACCTTTAGAATTTATTTTTATAACAAACATAGCCGATAGTTTCTTTGTAGGTCATTTTGGCAGTCTTCCTTCAGCCATGTGCACCAGATACATTGGTTTTGTTTTTTGTCACTATGGGTAATTGCTCTATCAATCTTTAACTTTTTGCCATTGGTTAAGTATATTAAAATTAAATTGAAAAGAATTTCATTTATTTCTTAGGGGAAAAACAATGCCAATGTTAGTTAGTTTTAAGAGGAGATGGCTATGTTTTTGACACGTTGTAAATATATTACTGATGCACCTGGAATCTACAAGCAGTTTTCATTAGTTGTGATTTACAATAAACAGAAATTAGTATTATTACTTACTTGAGCTACAGTGTAATGTCTGTTATTGAATTTACTACTAGCAGTACAAGGATTCCCCACTTTGTGAAAGTTTGCTTTATGCCACTTCACTTTTATGAAAAACCTGCATTAGTACCAAAAGAAATGAAGACTGTATTCCCTTTTTTAAAAAGAGGGAAGGCAAAACTTAGTAATTACCATTTGTTTTTCAGTAAGCTATGAAAGAGGTAGCACACATCCCTACCAGTGAGAGCGGTGTCCCCATGTTCCTTCCTGGGAATTGCATTGCAGAGACATCATTTTACTTTATGTTAGTGTTATTTTAGGGTTCATGTGGTATGTGCTATGATTTAGCAAGTTATTTTTTGATCTGGGAATGCTAAAACTAATTGTAATTGCTTCTTCAGATAACATGGCTGGGAAACTGTATAGAATATGTTTTTAATAAATCACCTATGAACTTGTAAGACATAAAACTTGTTATAAAGCTTCCCTACAGCTCAAATGGACTTCGAGTCCTTATTATAACTATTAACAGATGAAATGACCATTTGGCTGAAGACCTATTTGTCTAACTGATCTTATCCTGCCTTTCTTCAACTTCCCTAATGAAAAGCAGGATTCTTGGTTGGTAGATATTTTTATTAAAGAATATACAGTGTAAATGATGGCTTGCACTGAAACAGAAACTAAAATTTACCTTAACACATTTTTATTGCTTAGAGATAGATTTACAGTAAAAGACATTGAATATATGAGAAAATTGAATAGTGATATAAGACAGTACGTAGATTTTAAAAATTATTATTATAGGTGTATTAGACATTGTCAGTAAAAGCAGAAGAAACTGGGTTAACCTTACTTCATACTTTACTGTGACTTCTTCAAGCAATTTGATTCTTCAGGTGGTTCAGTAAGTAATAATTTATAAAATGGAGCTATTTAGATTTCTACTGCTAGAAGAAATGACCATGCCTTCTTTCTGTATACAAAAACCCAAAGGTTATGTGCATGAGGGGGCTTCAAAAACTTCATACAGTTAAAAGATAATGGAATTTCTCTGCAAACATCTTAAATTCCCCTCTTACTTGTCAAAAACTTGTTACAACTCATTAATTGCAAAACTAGGACTGGAAAGTAGGTTTTTTTGTCTCCTGATAAGAGTATACTTTTTACTGTGTTATATAGTGCATCAATGGAAATTCAAATTACTTGGTTTGAATTGCCAGCAGTATGAATGGATCGCTCCTTTCTGGCCAAGCACAAGTCTACTATCAGGATAATAGACTTATTTCCATAAGTATTTTTTCTTAGGCAAGTAGGTATTAAATTCTGACTTTTAGATATACTTTCATTCTAAAGCATAGATCTTAGTTTAGTCAGATACTGATCATCATAATTTTGTTTAGTGACAAAACCTAGTCATTAGTCTTTTGTTGTAGGTTGGTCTGTAAAGGAAAAGTTTCAGGGGAGAAAATTAAAGTTTGTTTGGTAAGGGATTAATTTATATCCAGTGTTTATGGCTATATAGCATTTTGTTAACTGTATCAGATCTTTGGATTCATCCCATATACTGAAGGAAAAAAATGATCTTGTTGAATAGATTACCCGGAATTTGGCAAGGAAATTATAAGACTATTTCCTTACCTAGAGCAAGAAAATACAAAGCAGTGTGCCCAAAGAGAAGAACTAGAGAGTAGAAATTTCACTACTGCTACAGAGTTGTAGGAAATAAAGTACTAATTCATTATTGGATCTAAAACAACACAGAGAAACGTGTGGAGGTGCTGAATCTGGCTTGGTAGTCATGTAGTCATGGTTAGCAACATGAGATAACCTTGGGGTAGTTGTAATAATTCAGAACTGACATTATATGGAAACTCAAAGCTTTTCATATTGAAGTGTGGGAAAAAGGTGTTTCCCATGCAGGGTGAACTTCTCTTTCTTAGAAGATGGCACTGAAAAAACTTAAGTCAGTTGATATTTTTCCATAAATTCATTCCTGCAATTTTATGTCCTCACATAGAAAATTCTTAAAAACTTAACCCTAGTTTTCATTTGAAATTGGGTCATTTAACTTTTAAAATCTTGTGAACAATTTTTGTGATCTATAGGCCAGTGCTGTTCTATTTTTAAACTCTCTGATATGTGTGTGTGTTTTTTTTAATGTTTGTGCGTCAGCATAGCGTCTGTTTCCTTTTTTAAGGAATTCGAGAGTGATTGTTTATAAATCCTTGTTGAGGAGCTTATTGTTTTTTGTAGCTTTTTAAATGGCTGTATTAAAGGGAGAATTATCACATGAACAGACATCCTGATTAACATTGCTTCTCTATAGTGGTGGTGGGGGAGGGAGCTGTTCTTTACATAAATAACTCTATGTAGTAAATACTAATTTATAAATCCTGACTTTGCCAAATAAAGTATCAAGTGTCATTCAAAATAGGGATATCAGAACAAAGGAATCAAAGTATCAGCTCAAATCTCTTATTGCTACATTCTGAACATCAAGGTAGGTATATTCTGAATTCTAGGAATTTTAAGAATTATGCAGTGAAATATGATCAGGCAAAGAACAGTTTTAAAGTGAGGGAAAAAAGAAACAGCTAAAATAAAAGGTCAGCAGGAAATAATAACTATAGCTATGTTTGAAATAATCTGGTAGAGGTGGTAGCTGTTTGTGAACCTGCTGGGAATCTTAATGTTGGGATCTGAGAAGTTAAGTAGCAGAATAAGGTTACCTACAATGATGAGAAAAGAATTGCAGAGGAAGTTACTGTTCATACTGAATCCCATTAGGGGGTCATGTGAAGGAATGAGAAAGATGTTTGTGGAGTTGCTTTAACAACCCCATGATAAACGGAAAGAGGGTATCAACTCTTTTCCTTTTCTTCATGAATATTGTTTCATGGTAAAGTTTTCAATCCAAACCCAGCCTGGCATTTGTATTTTTATGTATTTGCCTTCCATATGGTTTCTGAAACATCATTTTCTAATATTGCTACTTCATAGCCAAGGAAAGCAGTACAAAGCTTAACTTTTTACCACTGCCTAGTCATTGTACTTAATTTTCTTTAAAAATTATGCAACCTGTCCTTGTTAATGGGTAGTTTTTAATATCAAATTAGCCCTTTATATCCTCAATAAGATAAAGGTCTCCAAGCTAGTGTGACATGGTTTTTGTGACTGAACTGGGGAAATCACTGCCCTAAGGGGAAAAAAAAAATAGCTACTGGAATATATGAGGAGGCTTCAAAAGTTTTTTGAAGTGCCCCACCCCCAATATCCTTTTATATGTAAAATTTCAAATACAAATATTATATCCTCTTTTGATGTTTTTTGTTCATTAGCAAATTTTACTGCTTTAGACTAAAAATAGATCCTATTTAAATTTAATACAAGTCTTAGGATATATACAGCCTATAAGGTGTTTTTTGAAAGTACTTTTGCCAAAGAAACTATTGCCAAATTGACTCGATTTATTTTTAGTTCTACTGTTAGTTCTACTGTTGTGTGTGTGTGTGTGTGTGTGTGTGTATGTGTTTCCTCTTTCTGTTTGGCAAGACTGTTTTTACTCACTTCCAATCAAGCTAAAAACAACTTAAACTTGAGTCACTTTAGAACCTAGTACAGCAGTGTTGGTTGTGGGAGTGTGTGTCACTGCCAGCTCCAGAAACTCCTCCTCTGAATACAGCGTACAGGAAGGGCACAGCTGCTGCTTCCTAAAATCTGGAAGAAGGCTTATTAAGAGTTAGAGAATAGTAGGTTTTCAAAGAGCTTTTAAACAAGTCTAACTCTCTACTGATACATTTGATCATTTATGTAAATTTTTGTAGTGATTATATAGCTTATACATTAATTCTTCATATTTAATTCTTAGGCTGTGGAAATCGTACGGGAATTCTAACCCAGGGAGATTATGTAATGTAGAAAGAGCACCAAATCAGAAGTCACACAGTCCGAGTTCTGGGTCCCTCCCCATTACTGTACTGAGCAACCATGGATACGTCTTACAAACCTTACTTCATGTGTACAAAGGAAATAACGTCACTTGCCCTGCTCACTTAACAGAAATCTTATGGAATCAAGTACATGATAGATAGCCTCTTGAGACTGCTCCATAGCACACATCAGGAATTGCTGGGGTTCCCATCTGCCTGATGGGGCACAAGCACATCATGACTTTCCCAGCAGTGTCATCAGTTACTAATGTGCTGAAATGACCAGAAGTTTGGGTTCAGGAAGACAAAGGCAGTTTTAAACTTTTACCTTAAAAATCAGCAACAATTTTCTTAAAACATACTTTAAATTCATTTGTTGTTGTGTGCAGTCGAATTGATTCTGACTCATAACAAACCTGTGTAGCATTTATGAGAGCAGCTGGTGGGTTTGAACTGTTGACCTACAGTTAGTAGTCCAGTGCTTATCCTACAGCGCACCACTTGCTTTTATTTTGTTTTTTACTTAAGGCCTGACTTAGGTGACATTTGAGAAAAAATTGATGTGGATGTTGATTTTAGATCTGAGAGCTGAAGCTGAAATTGGAACACAGCTCAGGGATATTGAAGCACTCTGTAACAAGGGTATGGGCTCTCCAACAGTGATCTGTTTTTGCTTCTTAAACACATACTGTTTTGAGCAGCCTCACCTTGCAAATAGATTTGTAGTACAGGAAGAAGATTCTTGAAAGGGAGGGCTGTGATGAAACCGGTATAAATCTCTTTTTTAAAATCTTGTACAGGCTTCTGTTTTAAAATCTTTTCTTCTGGTTGAGACATTAGTCTTTAACATTTGAGGATCTCTGTAACTGAAGACAATAAAATACCAATAGAGGATTATTAAAGGATTATGTGTATTTAAATTACCTTTATTAACCCATTCTAGCCTGAGAAGGCATAAAGCTCAAGGACAAGGGGGCCATTTAAAACCAGTGTATTTTTATTATTTGAATTTTTCTTTAACTTCAAGTATTTTAATTGAAATTCAAGGTTGTCATATTTCAATTAATTCATTATGTTAATAAATGCATATACCAAAAGATTGGAAAGAGATTTCTATTTAATGATAAATCTGTGAATTTGCTTCTTAAGAGAAAACTTTATAATATAAATATTTTAATTAAGACTAAATTTAGGGTGGTTCTTAATCATATAGAATCAGCCTAAATAGAATTGTTTCACACATATGAATTCAAATTCTTGCTAAATGGTATGCTAATAAAATATTGTGCTTTAAAGAGATGGTGTGTAGCTTAACAAAAATAATGGCAGTTGCTACCCTCAGTGAATTTATCATTAGATTGTACTCCCATTAAAAGACTCAGGCTAATGAATTCTCCCCTCCTACTGTTAACAATGGTTCAGAAAACTAAATTGTAATCTCAGTGAAATTTGAATGACAGAGATGAGAAGTTTGGATTTTATTCCATTTTGGTAAGATGTCTTTTCCCCCTTGTTTTGTAGAGGATGACAGCCCAAGTCTCTCCTGCAGGTGACAGGCAGCAGTCTTTCTCCATAGCTTGGGAGGGGTTGGGAGTACTTTCAAGGAGAGGCAGTAGAGCAGGCCTGGGCCAGTCTCCTGTTTTCTTCATGGGGATATGAATGAAAAGTCAGCCCTTTCAGGATGAGATTGAAACTCATGGTTGAATACTCTTTGTGATTTATTGTACTTAAGTGCTGTTAAGTCAGTTGTGATTCCTAGTGACCTTATATAAGATTTCTGAGGAGCAACTGGTAAGTTTGAACCGCCGACCTTGAGGTTCACACTGACTTTGTGGTCCAGTGCTTATCTACACCAGGACTCCTCTTTGTGACTACTTGAAATACAAGGATTTTAAAGTTGTGAATAGGACCAAAGACCAAACTTAACATATTCTAGCAATTTAATAGCTTATAGGTATTTGTGACTTCCTTTTAGCAATTCTAATTAAGACTTTAACATAAAATAATTTAGAAACTGTATTTTATTTAACTTACTCTACTACTTACAAGATCTGTTTCTAATCATGTGCTGTGTTAAACATGATTTAAAGACATCCAGATGATTGATTTTAGATAAACAACTGGATGTCGGGAAAAGTAATTGATTGTTGCTGTGGCCTTGCTCTTCCTTCATCAGAGAGAAACCAGCTCATAATGCTCTTTTTGATCCTCGGAGCAGGGTGTATGCTCTCTGCCATTGCATTTTCCTCATTTCCCATTTTTGTGGCTGAGATCAGCTTCAGATCAAGGCAGCTGGTCAGAGTGTGCAAAGGACAAAGTACAAGTTGATGTAAAATTTTACCCTTTTTTGGCCACTAATTTAGGAAGCACTGAAGATAGCAGTGCATTACAAAGTCCAAAGAATTTTATGTGTCTCAAAACATTTTGGAATTTTAGTTGATTACTTTTGAAATGTAAATTCCAGTTTTAATCGTTCTGAATCAAAGATTTTATATCTTTCCTTTTTTTTTAGATCCCAATTTTGTTCGGACATTTCTTACCACATACAGATCCTTTTGCAAACCTCAAGAACTACTGAGTCTTATCATAGAAAGGTCTGTTAATTTAAAATGTTTTAATCTTTATTTTTTTACAAGAGATTAAGCTAAGATCTTACATGTTTCTTGGAATTAATTATAGTTCATGAATACTTTTTAATAAAAGCTGTCTTGTTACTGTTAAGTGCTGTTGAGTTGGTTCTGACTCACAGTGACCCTGTATAGGATTTCCGAGGAGCTGCTGGTGAGCTTGAACCACTGACCTCGTGATTCAAACATGATTCTAATCTTGCATTTAGAAGTCCATTGCTTATCCTATAGTGCCACACCAGGACCCCATAAATCTGTCTTCGATGACCATTTTTGTTGACGTTTACATGCTGTTGAATCAGTTCTGACTCATAGAGACCCTGTATAGGGTTTCTAAGGAACCGCTGGTGGTTTTGAACCTCCAACCTTTATCCTATAGCACCACACCAGGATTCCAAAAGACCTATATGTTGTTGTTAAGTGCCGTCAAGTCAGCTCCAACTCATAGAAACCATGTATGTGTAGGGTTTCCGAGGAGCAGTTGGTGAGCTTGAACCACTGACCTCATGATTCAAACTGACCTTGCAGTCCAGTGCATTAACCCGCAGTGCCATAGCAGGAAATGTACTAACTGGTACTCTGGGAATTCAAATTTTATTTAGATGTTCTAAACAGAAGTTTTCCAAGTATATACTACTACATATTGAGAAAAATGAAGCATTCATTGATTTAATTATTGTAATCAAGGAAAATGTTTTATCCACTCAAATGAACAGCAGTTAACTTTGCAAACATTACCCTTAAAAGTTATGTTAAAATTAACACCTGATCCCATAGTTATATAGTTATATTTTTAGATTTTGCATATATTCTTTATTATATCTGTAGATAAGTTTATCTGTATTGGCAAGTAGTAATTCCTTTTTAAAAAACTCAAATAATTCACCTTTAATAGGTTGTAGAAGCTTCATTTAATTTCACTGATGTGTACATCCTTAATAATTTTTTGTGTTATCCTCTTACCAGTTCTGACCATTGAAAATGTGGTTTTTATTTGTATAATTTGATATAGTCAATATTCTTAGTAGCCTTTTCTGTTTTATATTAGGTTTGAAATTCCAGAGCCTGAGCCAACAGAAGCGGATCGCATAGCTATAGAGAATGGAGACCAACCCCTTAGTGCAGAATTAAAAAGGTTTAGAAAAGAATATATTCAGCCTGTACAACTACGGTAAGTATTAAATAAATAATTCAAGTAAGTCTTTTTAAACTTTTGTTTCAGTGCTAAAGTCTATAGGGACCTTGCCTAAGCAAGGAAGAAGCAAGTAGAATAAGTGAAGCATAAATAGTAGCAATTTCTGGAATCAGTGGTCCCCATACCCATTGCCATCAAGTTGATTCCAACTCATAGCAATCCTATTGGACAAAGTAGAACCACCCCATAGGGTTTCCAAGGCTGTATGTCCTTATGGAAGCAGAATGGCCACATCTTTCTCCTCAGAACAGCTGGTGGGTTCAAACCCCATCAAGAGCTCAACCACTGCACACCAGGACTCCTGAAATTGATGATTTAAGTATTAATTAATGGAACTTTAAAGCCATTGATAAGGTTATTTCATTTGTAATGTTACTTTGTTTTCATTCATACCTTCATTATGATAAATGTTTATGCTTGAGTTTCCATATAATTCAACTATTCTCTTTTGTGTTAATATCACAGAGTATTAAATGTGTGTCGGCACTGGGTAGAGCACCACTTCTATGATTTTGAAAGAGATGCAGATCTCTTGCAACGAATGGAAGAATTTATTGGAACAGTAAGAGGTATCGCTTTTTTGAAAGTCAAGTTTTATATATGATAAAAGTGCCATTATGATGACTGTCAATTGATGTCATTACTGATTGGCGTTATTAAGTGGTGTTTATAATATTACTATCATAACCATTTGGAAAACCTAACTTTTAGTAAGCAACCATTTTTGAACTAGATATTGCTCGGTAATCACCTTATTAGCTCAGTTTATTTTCATTTAGTGAATCATCTTACTAATTATTTTAGACCTAGTCTCAATTTAAGCTTTTCATTCCACTTATCTGAAAGGTATGTGTGCAAGAGGGCAGTTAGGACCAGTTGTGCCATTATAACACCATGGAGGCCAACTGGGCCACAGCTAGGTGAATAGAGCACAGTAGAAAGGATATCACATGGAGAGGCAAGAAACCAGAGTTCTCATCGTTATATTGCCACTAACCAGAGCCATGACCTTGGGCAAAAATCACTTGATTCTTTAGAGTTTAGTTTTCTCAGTAGAAACATTAAGGTAGGTAGTAGGCTTGGTGAGTCTATAGTTTCCTGTCTGGTTTTAAAATACCATCATTTTATGTGTCTAAGGAGTCCTGGTGTGGTGCTGTAGGATAAGCACAAGGTTGATAATTCAAACCTGCCAGCCACTTCTTGGAACCCCTATACAGGGTCGCTGTGAGTCAGAACTGACTCAATAGTACTTAACACCAACTAAGGCTATCCTAGATAAGTTTGTTTTCCATTATACACTCTTAATGAGAGTCAAAAAACAAAAGGGCTAAATAGTTCTTTTCATGCAGAGTACAAAACAACCACAAGAAAAGCTCCTAGTAGAATGAAGAACTCAGTCTTTTGGCACAGTTTGGCTTATGAAATTCAATATTAGTTAGTGAATATGTATAATTTCCTATGAATAAATCTTGTTTTCTGCTGACTTTTTTTCTCCCTCATTTTGAGGATGGTAAAATAGTATTTTTAACTTAAGCTCAGAACAAAAAGTTTGAAAAATTGCTACAAATAAACTACTTTCTAACTTAATTAGGAAGCATCTGAAAGAATACATACCAGACTGAACAGTGGCTACCTATGTAGAGATGAGAATGGGATGGACAAAGGGAATTTGTAAAAGAGAACTTTCACTTTTGATTTTTATTATTTGAAATTTTTATAGCAAAAATATATTCAAGGTATCACATGTGTAATTTTAAATCATTTTTAGGAAATAAAATACTGAGTAAAAAATACAGAAATGTTATTTAAATTGTAATATATTTTAGGTAAAGCAATGAAAAAATGGGTTGAATCCATCACTAAGATAATCCAAAGGAAAAAAATTGCAAGAGACAATGGACCAGGCCATAATATTACATTTCAGAGTTCACCTCCTACTATTGAGTGGCATATAAGTCGACCTGGGCACATAGAGACTTTTGACCTGCTCACATTGCACCCAATAGAAATTGCTCGACAACTCACTTTACTTGAATCAGATCTATACAGGTATGTAACTTTACATTCAAACTGAAAATCATTGCAAAGGAGTTTTTTGGGGTTTTTTTTTAAATGGAAGATTGATTTCCTCCTTATAGGGTTGTTACAAGGAATAAATGAGATCATACATAATATGTCTACTGATAAGGCCTGGAGTATATAAAGCAATTCCTATTTTTTCACTTCCTTGCTTTGGTTGCATTTGTACCATCTCTGTTTCTGCCATCAGTCTCTCATTGCCAAAGCTAGGTTTAAATCCTGACTTTGGGCAACTGTAATCTTCTTGTTTGAACCTTAACCATCTATATCATTGTTTCCTCAAGAGTAAAGTGAGGCTGATATCACCAGCTCCTCACTATCAACATGGTAAAGTTCAAAAGGTCAGGTCAATATGTGAAAATGGAGGATAACTGCTCTATTACAAAGCAGCCAAACCACTGAGAACCGTGAGAGTAATGCTGGATGTGATTATGTAACGTGCTTATTAGCACATTGCCTAGCACAAAATAAGGGCTTGATAAATAAAATACTAACTGCTATTATCCAGTGACTGAGTGGTACAGACAGTTAATGTGTGGCTGCTAATATGTTTGGCGCAGACAGTTAATGTTTGGCTGCTAATATGTTTGGCTACTAACCAAAAGGTCTGAAAGTGTAGCTCTATCCAGAGGCACCTCACTAGAAAAGCCTGGCAATGTACTTCTGAAAAAAAACAGTCATTGAAACCCTAGGCAACACAGTTCAACTCTGACAAACATGGGGTCACCATGAGTTGGAATGTGTCAAAGGCAACTGGTTTGTTGTAGCTGTAAATTTAAATCATAGCCAGTTTTAGTCTTCGTTTAAGCTTTTAAGCTGTCTTTGAATGATGTCATTATTATATTGATTAAACAACTACTTCAAATAATACTGGTTTCTGGTTTTAAATAGGGATCATTTAGAATTTCAAACTAAATTATATGCTTTTTAATAACTAGATGAGAAAAATTTGTAGATGTTTTTTAACAATGAACAGTGTTCCCCCAAATTATAGTATTAGTATCTACGTTATTACCAAAAACTCTTTTGTGGTGGGATTCTCTCCTTCCTTTAGATTTACATAAAAAAGAGAGACAGATTTATGAATTCTAGTGATTAATATACCCTCTTATAGACTCATTATTGTATCATTATTTAAAAGAACTATCCAAAAGTACTGTCACCCTTATTTAAGAAATATTTATCAGTGCTAGAAAAGATACTACGAAGAGATTCCAGTCTTGTTAAAAGCAAAATGTCATTAAAAGTATATAAGTACAAACATTAAAAGAAAAATCTACAGAGAAAGATCTATAATAGTAATTTTTGTATATATTCTATAATCCTTGGATTAAGAGATAAATTTATATAGGAGTGTAATTTTATGTACCATTTAATTAATAAAAGAGTGTATTAGAGGAGAAAAATATCATGTAGCATTATATCTTGATGATTTTAGAGCTGTACAGCCATCAGAATTAGTGGGAAGCGTGTGGACAAAAGAAGACAAAGAAATTAATTCTCCTAATCTTCTGAAAATGATCCGGCACACCACGAACCTCACTCTATGGTTTATGAAGTAAGTATTCCTGACATATTTCATAATAGTCATGTTATGCATTTCAGTTACATTTTATTGGAATACAGCTCATATTTTTTTGTTCCTTTATTCTCTCTTTTACTACTTTTGCACTGAGTGGCTGTTTTCTTCTGTGGCATCCTAATTTCATAAGTGAGTTTTTCACTATATTTTTTTAGTGTGCTTTTAAAAAATGATTTATCTAGAGTATACACTATAAATTTAAGCTTCAGATTTATAATAGCTTATTCCAGCCCTGGTAGCATAGTGGTTGTGAATCGGGCTGCTGCCTCAAGGTCAGCAGTTCGAAACTACCAGCGGTTCCACAGGGAAAAGATGAGGTGTTCTGCTCCCATAAAGATTTACAGCCTCGGAAACCCTGTGCAGGGTCGCTAAGAGTCAGAACCGACTCCGGTACTCAACAACAACATTCCAGTAATAGAAACATTACTACTGTATAACTTTATTCCTTCCCCCCCTTTTTGTGGTATTGTTTTTATACATGCTTCATCTATTAATATTACAAACTGTACAATATGTTGCTATAATTAATACTTTAGCATCTATCCTATTATATCTTTATTCTCACCCGTCTCCTTTATACTGTTATTGGCAGATGTGTTACTTTTACAGTTCTTTGTAAGTTCAGTGCATTATATGTGTATTTTAAGAGTTGGTTTTTTAAAATCAGTTAAGAGAAGAAAGAATATGCATTTATTAAATTATCTAATCCCCTTTACTGGGGCGCTTTGTTTTTCAAGTGACTTCAGATTACCAGCTGGAGTCCTTTGCTTTCAGCTGAAGAACTTTAGTATTTTTGAAAACAGATATTCTAACAACAAATTCTCTCAGTTTTTATTTACCTGGAGAGTCTTTATTTTGCCTTCATTTAAAAGTAACACTGCAGGTTATAGGATTCTTGGTTAATGGTTTCTAATGCCTCATGAGCACTTTGTGTGTCATCCCAGTTCCATATTGTCTGCAGTTTCCCTTTCAGGGGTACATCATTTTTCTTTTGCAGCTTTCAAGTTGTCTTTTTACTGTAATGTGTATTTGTGAATCTTTTTAGGTTTATCCTATTTGGAGTTTTTTGAACTTCCTGAACAGCTAGGTTATTGTTTTTCAATAAACTTGGGGAGTTTTCAGCCGTACTTTCATTAAATATATTTTCCTTTTTCTTTCCTCTCCTTCTGGTACTACTGCTTTTGTGTGTATTGTAGTGCACTTAATGGTATCCAGTGTTTCTCTGGAGTCTCTATTTTATAAACATTTTCTCATGGTTCTATGGTTTAGGTAAAATCTACTGCTCAATCTTCAAGTTTGCTGATTAATTCTCCTGCCAGTTCAGATCTTCTCTTGAGCCCCTTTAGTGGATTATTTATTTCAGTTATATTTTTAAACCTGGAATTTCCATTTGATTCTTTCATATATAGATGTTTTTCTTGTTATTGATATGCTTTATTTGTTGCAATATTGTCATCATACTTCTTTAATAAAGATTATCCTTAGTTCTGTAAGTATATTTATAAGGTTAATTTTGAAGTCTTTCTCTGTTAGTCTGACATCTGGCATTTGGGTTTAGTGTCTGTCTCTTGACCTGCCTCATAATTTTTCATTGGAAATGGTAAATTTCTGATAGTATATTGTAGTAATTCTGGGGTTTGTTCATTCCTCCCAGGACTTGTTATTGTTGTGTGTTTGTTTAGTAAGTGACCCCGGTGGAGTATTTTAGTAAAGTCTATTCTTCCTCCCAGTCTGAATCCCACTGTTAAGCCTCTGATGTTTTTCTTCAGGGAAGCTCAACTTTGAGTCTGTTTGTACTCACCCTGGATGACAGTGGTTCTGGTAGGATTCTCCTCCATTCTTTCCCTAACTACACCTAACTGTTAAGTTCCAAACTAAACCAATCAAAATATGACTCCTTTGAAAATACTTCGTGGTATCTGTGTTTGATATTTGTTCTGATTCCAGGGGTGCCCTTATCTATCAAATGTTCATTGGTTCATGCCCACAGATTAGCCGGCCTCTATGCTGTATCTTCATTAGATGCATGAATCTCTCCCAATTGCCTTTAACCATAGCTTCCACTGCGCTTGAGTACTAGTAGGTTTAAACTTCTCTATGCTGTGTTGCAAATGGAGTCTGTTTCTGTGGAAAGAGATTAGGCACAATCTGTTTTCTGGCCTGCTTCTCCACTCAAGGTTCTGGAGCTGGGTTTAGGATGTCTGAATGACCTCTCTGTTTTAGGAGATTAGCAGTTGATGGGGATAGGGCAGCAGCCTGAGATCATCTTGAGTTATCTCTTGGTACCTTATGAGTCACGGGAAATGCTACTGGGGTCTCAGTATATCATGTTAAAAATAGAACCTCTGTTACACAAGTGGGAATTGGCCAGAAGGAGGGAGACTTCACCTCTTGATTGCACTCAGCCAGGACTTAAACTCAACAGCAAGCAGCTGAAGGCCTGGGAAAATGATTTGATTTAGCGCTCGGTGAGAAGGGAGCCTTGTGTCTTAGTTCCAACAGTCTGGAGTAGTGTATCTACGTTGGAGAGTTGGCAGAGGAGAAGGAGGGAGTGTGCTTAGTTCACATCCAACAGACTCTGCTTTACCTTAAAGAAATCCTGTAGATTTTCTTCAGTAAATGCTGTTTCATTTTCTCTTTACTATTAAGGTCATTTTCAGAGGCTTAACATTTTAAAAATAGAAATAGGTTTCACCAGATTCATTGGTGAGCAAAGCTCCTTATTTTGTTGCGCCAGAAGTCCAAATTCTCAATACATTTTTTTAGCTGAGGCCTGGGGGTAGAGTTTTGTTACTGTGATCATTTTTTTCCTGAGTAAACACAATATTGATTAATTATTTTATAAAGATCATATAATGTTTCCACAGATCATATTGGGAGTGATTATCAGAACAGTAGACAGTGATATATAAGGAAATGATAACTTGAACTTAGAGTGTTGAACTAGGATAAAGACCTGAAAATACTTCTTACGGGTCATCTCCTGAAAGTTAGCTCTGCCTTCTGCGTGTTTTATTAGTCCTTAGCCTCTAAAAGTAGCAATTTAGAATTTGTTCCTTGTTCCCCCTAATGTTTTTTTATTTATTTTGTTGTTGTTACCAAGGTAAATAACTACCCTTCTGTTTGAAGAGGCCCTCTCCAGCATTATCATTAAAATTTTTATGCTTCTCTTTTTAAACCCACTTTTCACATAACCGATGAAATATAGACTGTTTTTTATTCCTGTCCTACTTTTAAAATAGGTTCCTGAGAGGAAGGTCATTTCATGTCCTTTTCAGTGTGAAGTTTTTATTCATTTGCCACAGTGGTTCTTAGCCATGCACGTGCATTAGAATTAGGGTCACCTCTGGAGCTTTTTGGAGTCCCTGGGTAGCACACATGGTTACTGCTTGGCTGCTAACCTAAAAACTTGGAGGTTTGATTTCACCCAGAGGCACTCAGAAGACAAGCATCTACTTCTGAAAACGCACCCACAAAAAACCCCATGGAAAACAGTGCTACTCACACACATGATGTCACCGGAAGTGGGAATCAAACATGACAGCAACTGGTGGTGCTGATGATTGTTGCGCTGAATGTGTTCTGCCTGTTCTTGACGCTGTCTAGGGTTTCCGTGGAATAGTGGGTGGGTCTGAACTGCTAACCTTGTGATTGGCTGTCCAGTGCTTTTTAAAGATCAGATGCTAGAGTCTCAGCCCAGGTTCTTAAGAACATCTGGTGGTGGTACCTGGGTTTTACAAAAGCTCCAAGGTGATTTCAGTTTGTTTATCGACTTACCAATAACTGAAATAGGTTAATAAAAGATATGAATAAATTATACTTCTGTTACATTATTTTTGACAGAATGTGATAAATTTGCAGAGATCTGGCTAATATTTTGCTTATGTCAACATGTTGTAGTTATTTGATAATGCTTACCAGGCAAATTTATAGTTTCAGATGCATTGATTTTATCTTCCTATCAGTTCTGTCTCATCAGAAAAACTGAGAGGGCTTAAAGTTGATGAGAAATTGTTCTTGAACTTGTTGAAGCCTTCTAATATTTTGTAACTTGTTTTAAAAATGTTAAATGTTGATTTATTTTTTTTCTTCTTGATTTAACCAAGTTTAAGATTGCTTTTAATTACTAGAAATAGAGAGTAAATGCTTAATAAGAAATTTCTGATTCTGAGCACAGCACACTTCCTGTTAGTAGTTACTGGAAAACAGGCACATACATGATTTTCAAGCATTCTAACATTACAGTGCTTATGTTAAGAACTGTTCCTAGAAATACAGCCAAGGGTTTTTTTTTTAAGCAGAGTCCTGGGGTGGTGCCATAGGCTAAGCACTCGACCACAAGGTCACTTTGAACTGCAAGGCTGGCAGTTCAAATTCACCAGCTGCTGTTTAGAAAACCTATACAGGATTGCTATCAATTGGAACCAATTCAAAGACACTTAACAACAACAGACTTTATCAGATTGTTAAAAATGTTGGCATTAAGTATTCATGTGTATACATAAAATAGCTACATGGAACCTTAAGAGCACAAGGGTACAAATGGGAAGGAGACCAGGCTTGCAGCCACAGAACTTCTTTAAAAGTTGGGTGTGCTGCTTAGGGTCTGAGAAGATGAAGGGAGAAGAGAAAAGGCAGCAACCTCAGGGCCACTTTGGGGTCTCAGCTTAGCTTAACTGCTCAGCTCCCCAACTGAGGTTGCTTTTCCATTCTCCACAGAAAGTGAGCTGTTTTCAGATTGTGTTCCCACTACATTAACTCCCTACTCTCTAAAATCTTGATGTGACAAACTCACCCAAGAACCCACTGGAATATGCCCTAATATATTTAAATCAGAGAAAACAAGGCACTTTAAGAACCATTCACTTTGCTTACATGTACATTGTTCTAGACAGAAAGAAAAAATTGGTTCGTTTCTCAAGTAAATTAACTGAATCAAGTTAATACAAGAACAGAATTATTACCTAGCCCTCATGGAAGAAGCACTGGTAAATGACCATGGCAGGGCGGCACATCTCCTGCTGTCAGATCTGAGAGACCCCAGAAGAATTCAAAGCCTGATGCATCCCTCAGGACACCTGATGTCTCTCATGAGCAAATGTCCTGTCCTGTATCCCCCACCCCCGGCTTTCAGGCACTATTGTCCTCCTTACCCTGAGGTTAGATTCCATCAGAGGCAAGCTAGAGAACTTGGGTCAGCTGCTCCGAGCTTCCAGGTTATGCTGAGAGCCTTTCCCCTCCCCCGGCTGCTCCGTTGGAATATACTCATCTCAAGACCAAGGCAAAGCCACCAGTCAAGTCTGCACTGCCGATTGAACACTGGGTCCTTGGGCTACAGGAATGGAGGCAGCTCCTTTGGGTTGGACAGACCATAACAGAAGGTGGCTTCATGGCTTCGGCTCTTAAGGGTCTTTCTGGGCCATTGTTTCCTACTCTTATCAGTGTGGCCCAGTTTAACCAGTTGCTAAAGTTTGCATTCTATGATTATAGGATTCTAAAATCACAATTGGCTGCATTGAATCCTTTCTTATCTCCCCGGGCTCTGGGCATAAAGTGTTTTTTTGTTTGTTTGTTTTTAATTTTGTGTTTTGGTGTGGCACTTTGAGATTATACACTAACCTCAAAGTTGGCGGTTCAAAACTCACTAGCTACTCCTTGGAAACTCATTACAAGGTCACTATGAGTTGGAACCTACTTGGCGGCACTTAACAAGAGTCCAGAGGGCCTCTCAGCTGCCTAGGTCCTCAGTCCCTGAGCTAAGAAAGGAGGCTTTGGCCTAGAAAACTTGGTATAGCCAGTTAGTTGTATATGTATGAGAAATGAAACATAATCACTAAAATTTTAATACTACAAGTAAATGAAGAATATGAAGTGCCAGAATGCTTGAATTCTAGAATAAATTCCCCTAGAACACTCCTGTAGTCCAATATCCTACATACATTCCCCCCGCCACATTCAGCAGATCATATACTTTGTTTCATTACATGGTTTCAATCCCCTCCATGCACCAACAGTTAACAGTATTTACCTTCAATCACTCCAACTACTGCATTCCTCCCTGTTTCTCTCGCCACTCCCATCTTTCCTCTGCTAACCTCCCTCTTGTATATTGCCTACCTTGACATCTGTGTTTCTTTTATCAACAAAACGTGGTGTTTTTTTTTTTTTTTTACTTTTTACAACATTGGCCTCATACAGCATTTGTCCTTTTGTGATTAATTTCACTCAGCATAATGGCCTCCAGTTTCAACCATTCTCTGAGGTGTTTCACAGATTCATCATTATTTTTCAACATTTTGTGGTGTAGTGGTTACAGATCGGTGTGCTGACCTTAAGATCAGCAGTTCGAAACTACCAGCTGTTCTGCAGGAGAAAGATGAGGCTTTCTGCTCCTGTAAAGATTTACAACCTCAGAAACCCTGTACAGGGTCACTATGACTCGGAACCGACTCCACTGCACATCATAACCACAACCGATTATGTTTATGTACCTGGCCTACATACATTTAACAATATACTAATCCCAGAAGTTAATTCTAGTAGTAAAAGAGAAGGCACCAAATAGAGTAAGGAAATTTTTGGTTGACTGCACTAGTCTGGAAAATATAGTGATTGTATGGAAAATATCTGAGTGTGAAGGGGTTGCCATCTCTTTTGGTACCTTACCATCTATCACTCTGAACATATATTCTCTATAGTTACACTCTAAAAAGCCCTAGTAGCACAGTGGTTAAGTGCTTGTCTGCTAACTGAAAGGTCAGTGGTTTGAACCCATCAGCCTGTTTTTGGGGAAAAGCTATGACAGCCTGCTTCCATGTAGATGAGAGCATTGGAACCCTCACGGGTCACTCCTGCTCGGTCATCTAGGACAGCTAGCAGTTGGAATTGACTTGATTGGCACTTGGTTTGGGTTGCTGTGAGTTATTTACAATATAGCTACCCACCCACAATCTGTATTGTTTTATGTATTAAATTCTTTGTTGGAAAAATTCAAAAACGTTTCTCATTTTAATTCATTTAATTCCCAGATGTATTGTAGAAACTGAAAATTTAGAAGAAAGAGTAGCGGTAGTGAGTCGAATAATTGAGATTCTACAAGTCTTTCAAGAGCTGAACAACTTCAATGGTGTCCTTGAGGTTGTTAGTGCTATGAACTCATCACCTGTCTACAGATTAGACCACACATTCGAGGTAAGTGTGTACATGTATTGCAAGTATTTGCAGTAACGGTTTTGAGAATCAGGATTTTTAACAGTTCTTAACAGACATTAATGTTTGAATGTCTCATTTAATTGCCTTTTCAATAGCAGGTTAAAAGATTAAATTATCTAAGTTTTGTGCAAATCACTCTTTTAAAATTAGGCATTCTCATTAAAATAGATTCACATGTCCTAACCTAAGTTAGGAGTCCTGGTGTGGTGCTGTGGTTTAATGCACTAGACTGCAAAGTCGGTTTGAACTGCAGGGTTAGTGGTTCAAGCTCACCAGTCGCTCCTCAGAAACACTATACAAGGTTTCTTTGGGTCTGAACCAACTCACTGGCACATAACAACAACAGCAACAACCTAAGTTAAAGATTCCTGGTGGCACAGTGGTTAAGCACTCATTGTGAACCAAAAGACCAGCTGTCAAATCCACCAGCATCTGTGGGAGAAAAGACCTGTAAACCTGCTCCCATCCTAGAAAACCTTATGGAGCACTTCCATTCTGCCATATAGGGCTGCGGTGAGTGGGAATCAACTCAGTGGCACATAGCAACAAAACAACTGTAGTTAGTAGAAAACGCTTTCTGCCCGTAATTGATAATAAATAAAGTGTTCAATTAATACAATGCACATCTTTCATTCTACAAGAAATGTCAAAAACAGAATATAGATACACTAGCTCTCGTTAACACACAGTTTGTACTATTGTTAGTTGATGTCAAGTTAGCTCTGACTTTTGGCTATATTGCGTTGTCTTAGTCCTGTACCATTTTCATGATTTCTGGTATGTTTGAGCTGTTGTTTGTACTAGGATCTATGATAATCATTTCTTTCAAGCATTGTTGCATCCTTAGCCTCAAAATGGCTGTTACCTTAAAAAGGTAGTGCTTAACCTTTTTTCGGCAAAGAAAAATGTGATTTCTCTCCTAAACTTAGGTTTCCTACTTTTTTTTCCCCATAGCAAGTACCAAGTCGCCAAAAAAAAATATTAGAAGAAGCCCACGAGCTGAGTGAAGATCACTATAAGAAATATTTGGCAAAACTCAGGTCTATTAATCCACCATGTGTGCCTTTCTTTGGTGAGTATTTATATTTTTTATTGTGTTTCTAGATAAAACAAGACACATTTCATTAAATGACTGAGTACAGACAGACAGGTATAATTCTTATTTAACAAGTATTTAGAATGCCCTTAGAAATTTTCTCTTAAGACTTGTGAAGACAAGTCCAGTAGACTCCACTTTCTATTTTTCATCAGGCATCCATTAGATATTATATTAATACTTTGTTATATTCATAAAAATATTCACGTTTTAATAAACCAAATGCTATGTTAGAAGAGGCCTGGCTTAACTCATTCATATGGCTTAAAATCATAGTGTATGTGCCTTTGGGCCCATACCTTCAGCACATTAAAATTTTGATCTCTTTATCTACCCTTTTTTCTTACCTTTGTTATCAGATTAAGACAGCTCTTGTTCCTACCTTTTCAGATGAAAGCGTCTGAATCATCTCCCTGCTCATGGGTTCCTATGTTTTATTTCATCCTTTGTTTCCTGTATTTCATGTCTTCAAAATCTCTTTTACCATGAGCTATTTTTCTTTGCATGTATGTGTTCTGATGCTCCTTCCCCTAAATGCCTATGGAAATTATGAACTATGTCAGATGTCTAAGGAGGCCTAATAGTGCTGTTGGGTAAGCATTGAACTGCTAACCTCAAGTTCAGTGCTTCAAAGCCACCAGCCAGTCAGCGGGAGAAAGATGATCCTGTCTGCTCCCATTAAGATTTATAGTCTCTGAAGCCCTCTATAAAATTGATATGGGTCAGAATGAATTTGGTGGTCGTGGGCTTGGTTTAGCATGGTTATCACATGTCTGGTGTTTAGTCTTTTTAATATGTGGTATAATACAGCTTTTTCCCCCACCTAAAATTTTCTGTTTAATTTTAACTTCTACAACACATAAAATTTTGTCCTGATTGTTTTCTATTTTATTGTTCAGGTTTCATAACCAACCACTTTTATATTTCTAATCTTTTTGCTATGCACATTGTATATAATTGCAATGGTATAACATGTACCCATTGTACTTTGCTCATTTCACTTAACATATTATAGATAGGTTGTCATGTTTTAATTGAATATTCAAAATTATCATTCTAGTGGTTATATAACATTCCATAAAATTGATACAATAATTTGTCATTACTGTGATTAGGCACACACAGTTTCCAGTTCTTTTGCTTTCCTAAATAATGCTATAATCTGATCACCCACATACTTGTTTTCTGGATTTGAGAGTATTTCCTTGAAACAGGTAACCAGAAGAGGAATTAAGTTTGAAAGTGTCAGTTTTTAATCGACTGGTTTGTATTATCAAAGTTGCCTCCTGAAAGGCTTATACTTGATTATGCTGTCATCAGAAGTGGTTGACAAAGCAAATTCCATTCTATATTTCTAACCATGGGTGCTTTGTGTTTTCCCATTTGTTATTTTCATAGATGAACGCTATTATCTATTTGTTGTATTTTCCTTATTTGATTAATGTGAACATCGATAATAGTTCCATACCTTTGGAATGCAAAGACATTTGCATTTTGTCTTTCATATGTCCTTGTTCATTAAATATTTTTACCATTCTGTCTTTAAAGTCCATAATCCTTTATAATTTCAGTTGCTTCTATCATTAAAAAGTTTTTCCAGTCCAGATTTAATATTTAGTCATAACCAATCGAACTGAATATCAGAGAAACACTATCAAATATAGTGCCAGAAAATGAGCTCCTCAGCTTGGAAGGAACTCAAAATGTGACTGGGGAAGAGTTGACCATGATGCCAATAGAGCAAAGCTTATGGGAACTCTTTATTTGCTGATGGAGTACAAAATTCAAAATGAAGAGAAATGGCTGTAAACAACCTTGAAAAATTGGAACATGGAAGTACATAGTATGAATCTAGGATAATTGGTAATTGTCAAAAAAGAAATGGAACACATAAACATCGACATCCTAGGCATTGGTTGTGGTTATGTGCCATGGGGTCAGTTCCGACTCATAGTGACCCTCTACAGGGTTTCTGAGGCTGTAAATCTTTATGGGAGCAGAAACCTCATCTTTCTTTTGTGGAACAGCTGGTGGTTTTGAACTGCTGACCCTGAGGTTAGCAGACCAATTCATAAGCACTATGCTACCTGAGCTCCTTGGCATTAGTGAGCTGAAATGGACGGGTATGGCCATTTTAAAATTGACAATCACATGATTCACTATGCCGGGAATGATGAAGAGAAATGGTGTTGCATTCATTGTCAAAAAGACACATCAAGATCCATCATGAAGTACAACGTTGTCTATGATATAATACCACTATTATTCAAATTTACGCACCAACCACTTAAAGCCAATGAGGATGAAATTGAAGAATTCTATTAACTTCTTCAGTCTGAAATTGATCCAACATGTATCAAGATACATTGATAATCGCTGATGATTGAAATGCAAAGGTTAGAAACACAGAGGAAGGATAATATGGCCTTAGTGACAGAAATTATATGGAGTTCACATGAGAGAATTCTGCAAAGCCAATGATTTGTTCATTTCAAAAAGTTTTTTTTTAAACAGCATAAAATCTCACCAGATAGAATACACAGAAATCAAATTGACTACATCTGTAAAAAGAGACAGTGGAAAAGTTCCATATCATCAGCGACAACAAGTCCAGGAGCAGATTGTGGAACAGACCATCAAATTGCTCATATACTGATTCTGACTGAAGCTGAAGAAAATGAAAAGTCCACAAGAGCCAAAATATGACCCACTTGAATTTAGAGATCATCTGAAGAACAGATTAGATACATGAGACACTAAAGAATGAAGACCAGAAGAGTTGTGTGATGACATCAAGAACATCTTACAAGAAGAAAGCAAAAGGTTATGAAGAAGACAAGAAATAAGGAAAAGATCAAAATGGATGTCAGAAGAGACTCTGAAACTTGCTTTCAAGCATAGCGATGCTAATGCAAATGGAAGAAATGAGGAGGTACAAGAGCTGAACAGAAAATTGAGAAGCCAGAGTCAAATATTATAACGAAACGTGCAAATATCTGGAGTCAGAAAACCAAAAGGGAAGAACATGCTCAGCTGATGGAACTGGCAAAAAAAATTCAAGCCTCAGCTTTAGTTATTGAAGGATTCTCTGGGCAAATTATTGAGTGATGCAGAAAGAATCAAAAGAAGATGGAAGGAATATACATAGTTACTATACCAAAAGGAAATGGTCGATGTTCAGTCGTTTCAAGAGGTAGCATATGATCAAGAGCCAATAATCCTGAAGGAACTGGCAAAGAACAAGGCTCTAGGAATTAATTGATGGAATACAAATTGAAATCTTTCAACAAAGTGAGGTGGCACTGGAGGCACTCACTCATCTATGCCAAGAAATTTGGAAGACAACTACCTGGCCAGCTGACTGGAATGGGCACAAAAACAGATCTCTTCCAACGAGAGGTGACCCAACAGAATGAGGAAGTCATCAGAAAGTATTTTTGATATCCCACACAAGTAAAGTTTTACTAAAGGTAATACAGAAATGGCTGCAACCATACATTGACAAAGAACTTCCAGAGGTTTAAGCTGGATTCAGAAGAGGATGTGGAACGAGGAATATCACTGCCTGATGTCCGATGGATCTTGGCTGAAAGCAGAGAATACCAGAGATGTTTACTTGTGCTTTATTGACTATGCAAAGACTTTCCCCATTGTGTGAATCATGACAAGCTATGGACAACATTGCAAAGTATGAGTATTCTGGAACACTTAATTATGCTCATGAGGAACCTGTACATAGACCAAGAGGCAGTTGTTCAAACAGAACATGGGAACACCGAATGATTTAAAATTAGAAAAGGTGTGCTCTAGGGTTGTATTCTTTCCCCATACTTATACAACCTGTATGCTGAACAAATAATCTGAGACGCTGGGCTTTATGGAGAAAAACGTGGCATCCTGGTTGGAGGAAGACTCATTAACAACCTGCGATATGCAGATGATACAACCTTAGATGCTGAAAATGAGAGGACTTAAAGTACTTTCTGATGATGAAGTTCAAAGACCATAGCCTTTGGTATGGATTGCATCTCAATGTAAAGAAAACAAAAATCCTCACTACTGGACCAGTAAATAACATTCTTACCAATGGAGAAACTATTGAAGTTGCCAAAGACTTCATTTTGTTCGGATCAACCATCAACACTCATGGAAGCAGCAGTCAAGAAATCAAATGACGTATTGTATTAGGCAAATCTGCTGCACAAGATCTTTTGAAAGTGTTGAAGAGCAAAGATGTCAGTTTAAGAACTAAGGTGTGCCTGACCCACGCCATAGTATCTTCAGCAACTTCACATGCATGAGAAAGTTGGACAGTGAATAAGGCAGATCGTAAAAGAATTGATACATTAGAGTTATGGTGTTGGAGAATATTGAAAGTACCATGGGCTGCCAAAAGAACAAACAGATCAGTGTTGTAAGAAGTACAGTCAGTGTGCTCCTTGGAGGCCAGGATGGCCAGACTTCATCTATCATACTTCAGACATACTGTCAGGAGGGACCAGTCACTGGAGAAGGATATCATGTTTGGTAAGATGGAGGGTCAGAGAAGAACAGGAAGGCCCCCAGCAAGATGGATTGGCAAAGTGGCAGCTTCTGTGGACTCAGGTGTGGCAACAATTGTGAGGTTGGCCCAGGACCATGCAATAGTTTGTTCTGTTGTTAAGTGTTGTTGAGTTGGTTCTGACTCATAGCGACGCTGTGTAGGGTTTCTGAGGAGCACCTGGCAGGTTTGAACTACCAACCTTGTGGTTCGCAGTCCATTGGTGAGCCTACAAGCAGTACACCAGGAATTTTATAGATGTCAATAGAAACTAAAATGTAATGTAAAACTACCGTGGTGGCTTCACACCTTGTCTAATTTCATAAAGGGAAGAAGAATCACTATCAAGGTCAACATCAGTCCAAGACTGGCACCAATTCTGACACACCATCCACCCTTCCCCAGCACTCTCTACTTCCCTGTTGGATTCACTAAT